GGTGAGGTAGAGAGCGAGTGGACAGACAGTCGGCTCCGGGCAAGCAGGCGATGGATAACGGTCGAACCGGTGGTGATAGTGGCCATGACCGCCGTCAGTGTTCACCAAATGATAAGTGTGGAATACCTGCAGAGTTTAATCACCCGAGACCGAGGCGGAAACGGGAGCCATCTCAATCAATCCTGCACCAGCAATGCCTCTGATCCGGCCTACCAGTTACAGCAGGAGATACAGTCAGAGACGTCGCTCTGGGCGATGTACCTCCAGCTGTGTGCCTTCGGGTTGGCAGCACTTACCACGCCCGTCATAAGCGCCTGGAGCGACAACTACGGACGCAAGGTTCCGCTTTTCGTCTGCTGCGCCGGCATTCTCGCTAACTGCGCGGTGTACCTCGCGGCAACCTCCCTGGACCTGCCTCGCTACGTACTCTTTGTCGGGGAAGCTCTGCAAGGCCTGACAGGCAACAGGATCCTCGTCTCCACTCTTGTGTACGCCTACATCGCCGACATCACCAGGGAGAAACAGCGCACTCTTCGCTTTGTGGTGATGGCCGGCACCGCGATGCTGGGTGTGGCTTGTGTGCAGTTTGGCGTTGGGTACGCCGTAGACTCCTTGGGATTCGCACCAGTCTACGCAGCACTTTGTATTACACTCGGAGTTGTTCTGTTGTACATTGCAGTACCACCTTGCCTGCTTGAGTCACGACAAGCTGACAGGAACAAAGGTAAGCCATGAGTAAGCACAGAGCGCTAAAATAGACAAGAAAACTTCTGAAACACCGCTCCACAAAATCCAGTTTCCTTTTTGGGCTAACATCGAACATCAGCCTTTTTTATCGTATGCTGCAGAGAAAGGCTAAAAACACCATTTCGATTAGTTAGAGGAAACATGTTCAAAAAATTCTTTTGTCCTCTCTGAACCCTAGAAACGGTTGCTTGGCAGTTTGGCCACGCCTTTGAACGGATTGCAGGTTTCTTTCGCGTTAAGGAGGCCAAGAGACACATCCGTCTTGTCTTGCTGTCCGCTATAAGCTTCATCACTCGTTTTCTGTACGAGGTAAGAGTTTTTTTCACAAAGTGGCCGTTTTGAATCGTGCTCTCGGAATCACCTTAATTTCTTTAAACACTGTAGCATTGGAAGGAGGCTGACTTTGTTGGTGCAGTTACGAATATAGGCTAGCTTTGGTGACATGACTTTTTATCCTAATTTGGAACTACTTATCCGAGCATGAGGACAATCCATCATTGGCGCCTACTGCGTCACCTTGGCTCCACACTTTCAGTAATTTTAATATGAATCGCTCGAATCATTCAAGATGGCTGACTCATGAAAAGGACCACTGGACCTATCTGGTGACCGGAACAGCAAACCGTGTGGCACCTGCGTGTTTACTACTCGCCACGAAACGGGCTTGTAACGTGCCGATGTACGCGCACTCGGGAGTGTACACTGACGCGGCAGCAATGCCCTCCCTCGGATTAGTCCATATTCATCCCAAATCAAATTCCAGAGCCACGTCTGTTGTTCTTTTACAACTTAAAGAGTTTGTAATTTTGACAAAATTATGTCTGACGATGACCATGGGCATCACTGGCTTGGCATTGCGTCATGCCAAACCAATCCGAGCACACGTCACGGACATGAACATCGTCTCCCCATTGAATGCAAATTTATTAACAGAAGGAGACAAGGAAAACATTAGCAGCCTTTCTCAAGTTATTTTTCTTCAGTTTACAAGAATTTGTATTCCATTTTGTCAGGGTGCGTCGGTAATAGTGATCCTGTATGTCATGACAGCACCGATATGCTGGTCACCAGTGACCGTGGGAACCTACACTGCAGTATCCTTGACATCAATGTGCTTTGGTAAAGGTTCTCATTCGAAACTTCGATGGGTAACGAAAGTTTCACTTCAAAAGCAGAAGACGTACGATGCCAGGGATGTTGGATTTGGTATCTGAGTTTTTATCTGTGTACATCAGGTGACGCACTTTAGACTGTAAATGACAGAGCAGAATGGAAACTAGGGTCGATAGTCATCTAAATACACACAAGTGTGTTTTTACCTTCAGTGGGGCAAACCCGTTGCTTTCCTTTTATGGGACAATTTTTTCTAATAGCTGCCATAAGATCTGTGCAATCAGGGACCCATTGACCTGTATCGTTCATCAGCGTCCCCAATTAGAGGCAAAACCAAACTGATCACGCTGCATAATAATATTGTGTTCTGAGCGATCGACATTCCTTGGCTTTCAAGGTATCGTTGGCAAACTGAGGCTGACCAACATTAAGAAGAAAAAGAAAAACTAGGTAAAAATGGTAAAAACGGCCCCTTGTTTTACCAGTAAAGGAGAATTTGTGCGTGAAAGCTGCCACCAACCATGGACGAAGAGTCTACCAATAGATGTGTTCGTTTCGGAAACCCCTCATGCATTAATAAGCCTTTTGCGTTTTTGAAAATTTGAATAAAATCTAGTACACTGAGTTCTTTCAATTCAAGCCAACATATGAATTTGAATTATCCCTAATAAAGACTATGTTGTTACACCTCGTGATTCGGGGTAAGCTTTTGCTTAGTTACATATTAAAGACACGCCTTGTACCAACACACTGTTTTAATGGATAAGAAGAGCACTTGGCCTTCACCAATTTTTCTTGTATTCCCAGGAATCTTGGTCGGAGGAGCAACCCTCCCTCGTTGCTTCAAAGAGGAGTTTGTCCTGTACATTTGCTGCGCCAGTTACCTGTCTTACAACCTCATCACAGGATTGGTAACTTCGACTGAACTTCTCTTTGTTGGTAAGGAATATGAAGAAAACCGGTTATGGAAGCCCACAGAAAACAGCTTTTTTGTCAAGCGACCCCAATTCCTGTTGTATTTGGAGTAGCAACTTTGACCGCTGCTAGCATGGACTAAACAAGCAACCACAATCAGGATAAGTTGTGTCGATGGTATCGCGTCCTACGTGCAGGTTGTACGCGCACCATGAAATCTCGCCCCCCAGTTGGAGTTGGGACCTGCCAAAGTGCTCGCGCCCGCCAAATCGGTAAAGAGCGCGACCCTGGTGCCAATCCGTTTCCTTCAATGGTAGCATTTTCGTGCAGGTATTGGATCATTTTCAACCCATTGTACGCTTCACTGACAGGCGCTGTTACGGGCTGTCTTCGTAGTCTCGCGGGGACCATATTGAGCGCAATCGTTTCAAAGGCGGTATCAGGGGATGAACAAGGTAGGAAAGTGAACCATATGAATTTACCAGGTTCAGTTAAAAAGATGTAATTTTGATTTTCTGCGTACCGCTTCTTTGTTTCTTTAAAAAAATTCTCTCTGTTCAAGGAGTGTACGTTGAGGGCCCACTTGTTTTTAATCGAAGAGAGACACATGGAGTCACAGTGGTTGACCGGTAGTTATACTTTCATGGCGCGTACTGGTATGGTAGTCACAATTGTGTTGCAGGTGTGGCTTTGGGCATCGTGACCGTTATAGGAAATGTTTCTCTGTTTGCGGCACCACTGGTATGTAATGCCACGTTCGCCGCAACCGTGGAGTTCTTTCCCGGACTGACCTTTCTAGCTTTGGCCGGTGCTAGCGTTATACCTGTGCTACTCATCATGTAAGTCCTATATTTGTGGCAAACGTTTAATAGTGATTATAATCTTTTCCTCTATGATGAGAAAACTTGCCTTTGTTGACGCCCAAGAAGTGGCGGGCATTTTGCTAAAGTCAGCCAAAAGGATGTCATCAATCGAAACTGCTGCGTACAATTATGTTCGATACTCACGGCAGGGCTTTCGACACACGTGGCATTTGGCGACTTCCACTGTTGCGGTTATTGGCTCCCGTAGGATTGTACATTATGTTAAGCTATTATCTAACACATCTTAAATAACGAATGCGCCGGAATGATACATTTATTTCACTCTTGACCGGCCAGTTTTGGTGCTTTATCCAACCATAGGATTTTGCAATATATGACGCCTTCGTCGGGAAAGAAGTTAACCGGTCAGGATTCAGACAAAAAATCCGTGTCTTACGGAGGGGTGGACGAGTCAATCAGTGCGCACACGCAAGCAATAGAAGACGATAACTCGATCGCAGTGGAGGCGATTGATGTGGAAGAAGTCGACCTAAGTACAGCCGATGCGTAGCAGGCATTGGCGGTTCAAACATTCATCCACGTGATCTATATTGGTACAGGCTTAAGCGAATACTGCAGAATAATTACTGGAGAGGAATGTTATTTCTCTGTGTGCCCTACTGTGTTATAAATTAGTCCAGGTCTATTTAAAATCAATTGTGTATCAAATTATTTGTTTTCGAATTTGCTTTTCGTATAGGATAACCTCCAATATTTATTTTCTGTTATATTATTATAATTTATAATTTATGCAGCTGTGGTAAAACGCAAACGCAGTAAGTACATTTCATTGTACTTTTATTTACATGTGATTTATGTTACATTCTTTTTTCAAGTTTGATGTTAGAAGGGATTTCAAGCTATTCATGGTGACAGACAACTAAGGTGGAAAGCTTGCGGTAGCACCTGACGACGGACAGAGCATACTGTCCAAAACGTTGAGTTCATCACGGTTCTTTTCAGAACCATACAGACTCACAAAAGAGATCGTATCCTTGCATGGTGCTACCGCAAGCTTTCCAACTAAGTTTGATGTTGGAGAAAATTTCGAAAAGGATACCCTTTGATATTTACTTCATTTCAGTTGGATTATTGAATTACTAATTTATTCATGTACTCGTTTGTGAGGCCTAAGGGTGTCTGTTCAGGCGGAAAAAGAAATACGTTGGCACCCCGAGATAAATTGAAAACATCCAGTATTAAAACTATTTCTTCGTTAAAAACAGAGGCTTTTTGTTGAAGTTTGTTTCTGAAAGCTACATGCTTACTTAAAAATGTGTCCAGTGCTTTAACCACAAAAGATTCAGTCCCACTTCGTTCATACTTTCACACCATCAAATGACATTACTTCAACCTTTCCAATACATTTTGTGGACATGGAATTCTTTATTCTCGCCCAATCAAAGGTACAAGTTTTAACCATCACTATTATACTCGATGTCGACTTTCAAGGGTCCCTGGCTGTGACTATTACGTTAACTATTTGGGGAGTTATCCATGTATTGTCTCAAAACCAAAACAGAACCAAAAGTGCCAGTGGAGCAGTGGCGTAAGGTTAACTTAAATTTAAAAAAGGCCCAGCGGTGGGAATTTGAAAAGCCTCCGGGGGTTGGTGGTTGGTTGCTGGACACCACATCACTAGGGCGCTAGTCATGATGCAGAAGTACATCTTATGTCAGCCTACATCAAAATGGCGTATTGATATTCTTATTTAATTCTGTTCATCCAACAGCGCACTTAGCGCCAATTACAGGATGATAATGAGTGAAGAAGACAATGAAGACATGTTAAATTTTAGAGGTTGGAGGAAAACCCCGAAAAATGTTTCGGTGAAAACCCAATCCACATGTGGACCGAATCGGATTCGAACCCAGACCGCCAACCTGACTCCCTGTAAACTTTTCTCCCTTTTAAGCACTTAAATACACTTGGACTGTCAGGAAATTAAAAAAAACTCTAAATGCTCCACTCCCCCAAAAAAGCGGGGGGGGGGGTGTAATAGCCCATCCCCTATGTGGAAATCAGCAATATGTCTCTTCTACCTGCGTTCTTGCAGATTATGATACTCTGCACCATCTTTTAAAAAAGATCAAATTCGGTAAAACAAAATTTTGAGGAAGATGCACAGGGAGAGAGGTTTTTTGTTTGTCCCCAAAGTAGCAAAAAAGCCTCAAGGGGATTCTGAGCTGGCTTTAAAGCATGTTGAGAAATGCCAGAGGTTTACTTAATGGTAGTATAAAGATCATGTCAGGGTTAAATCACGTGTCATTTGGTATATTTTATCATGTCAAAATAAATAAATGATAAAGACTCTCACTCTCTTATGATTAATTTTTTAATGAATAGTAATTTGTGAAAAAGCATGGTCTTTAAAGTACTTGTATTTTGAAAACGTAGAAGAGATTAGAAACCTATAACGACGGTAAATGACAATGACGTCACTTAGTCGTGGCCAGCAGCTCTCAAGCAACAAATACTTGGCCTCAAATATAATAGCAAGGTTCAAAACGTTTAAAAAAGGATTAAAACGTGGTACATCCCGGAAATTACCTAAAACTCTGAACAGCAAAATTTAATCATAAATTCACACCAAATTTACATTTTGTCTCCTAATAAGCTATATTCTTTGACAAAAGATGAAAAAAATATTGGTATTGGAGATCTGTTGCCTATTTCAGAAATAATTTTGAGAACAGAAAACTCTCCAATTTGAAGGGGATAAAATCATGTTTTATTATATAGACACCTCGCAGTGAAATACATTTTTTAAATTATCCACGAGAGGTACAAGTACCTCTGTAAATGACGTTGGGCTTGATAATAGGATGCTCGTCGGGTGCGCTGTACAAGAAAATACTTTTGCCGTCTCTGAAAGGGACAGTGCGATAATGGGCGTGTGTCTATACAGGAAGAACAATGCTTATGTACAGAGTTTTACACTCGGACGGGGTCGTTGGCAGGATGCCAATTTCAACAGTAGCTATTCAAAGACCGCACCCTTCTCGTGCATTAAAATCTTCCTTTATTGTTCCACGTTAACAGTTACATCCCCATAGATGCGTTAAACGGGTATTCAGAACATTGTAACGACTTCGGCATTGGTTTAAATTCGGGAAGGTTTTGTAAATATAAGTTAACCTGAACGGTTCCGAGAGTTGTTTGCCGAAATTCATAACTGCTGACATTCCGAAAGACGCAAATACAAATTGTTTAAAACACAGACAATGAAATCCGGATAACAAAGGCTTTAAAACAATTGCGCACACAGAGAAATTTACAACGGATGACCTCATGGGTGAATTTCATGCTACAAAGAGACAAAGACTTCCCCGAGACTTTTAGATGCAGAAAGGAAGCAAAAACCAGAACTTGATACATCTTTACAAAGTACTCAAGAGAAAGTGACTTTATTAACTGGATAAAAACTTTCACAGCATCAGACCCACAAATCTTCGAAATGTGATTTTTCCACAAGATTATTTTAGTTTATTTATATGATCAATTGTACCTTTTCGTTGAGGTTAATCAATCTAAAAGATTTCTTGTTAATGAAACAAACGACGTCTCTTCGTTGGGGGCGCTTTTGAAAGAGTAGCTAATTCCAAGTTCGGGCGGCGTATTATTATTCGATCGGTCCTCACTGCTGCCATCCGGTGTGACATCATCGCTGGAGTCGTTGAAAGGTCGGTGCACCTGCGCAATGCGTTCCAGGCTAGCGTTGTTGCTCTTGGAGACGGGCTCCTGTGTCACGGCATGGCTGTTGAACGAGACGGGGGCGCTGTTGGAAGATGGAATGGACGGCCGGGCCGGCGGGGTGCTGGAAGGCTTGGTGATGGGAGTTACGGGGGGACCGATGTAGACTCCGCCGAATGCAAGGGGATAAAGGCTAGACTTATCCCCAGCATCTGGGGCGAACTCCTGGGGTGCCTCCCATCGGCTTTTGCTCGGAGTACTGTTTCTGACACAGAAAACAAACTTGAATGATTAAACCGACCCCGTCCACTAAATGTTTGTTGGGAGAGGACACGAATAACACACTAGTTTACTCAATTCAGATTGTGATAAACTCCGAAAGGTGTTGAGGTTACTGTTGCAATGCCCGCAATCCCAAGTTGTTCGATTTACAGGTATCAACATTTAGTACAGTTTATTAAAGAAAATTTTGGAAAATCTGACAAAGAAAACAATTCTGCGTTTAGAGCTTCGCCTCGTGGCTTGAAACGGTTTGGTACATTCGAATCACAGAAAGAAAATGCCACAACAGAAATAAATTGCAATATTGAAACTAACTGTCTAGGGTGTCTATATATACTTACTTTTGGGACTGATCACTCGACGTCGGCTCTGTCACGCAGAATCGAACACTTCCCGGCGAGGCACACACTTTTGAGGTATCCGTTCCTGGAAGGTGGAGGGACAAGAGTGATGACACACCCGAAAGCGACAAACACAATGATTCTTCTACTTGATTCTCCAACGATAAAAAGTCCTTACTCTGAGATTTGGTGGAGTAGCAGGTGGAATTGGGCGTGTCGACCCCTGACGATCGTCCCTCCTGTTCTTCCTCCTGCAGGAGTAAGGGGACCTCGTCGGGTGCGATGGCAAAGAGTTGCTTCTCCAGTTCCTTGATCATTTCGTTTTGCTTTCGAAGGAAAACAAACGGAGCGGATGATAAGACATTGAGTGCGATAGGGTAGTGAAGCAGGACGTCATTTGGACCAAATACTCGGTGCGTTTGATTAGCTGCCCTAAATACACCAGTGTTACACGCAAGGGGAGCCTCGAAATGAGGCTAATCGAACGCCAAGGCGATCTGGGAAAAAAGTCAAGTCCCCGCCACGTTCCATCGTGTCCATGCTCGAACAGTCCATCCGTGACGTCATTACACTCGGGCGGCCTCCAGAGACCTGCTCGCCAGCCGGGGTAGGCACGAAGATCGCGTGATGGCTAAACGAACGCTCTCCCGTAAGTTTGACTTACACGAGTAGGTTACTCGAACGTACCCATAGTAGTGCAAACGAATGGAGTACGCGCGCGTGTTGGTTGACGCGCTGGTTCTCGCGCTAATGCCTTTTACCCATATAATTATACGCGTGACGTGTCCACGTCGGTACAGGGTACGGCATGTATACCGGAAAGCGTTGCATTACATGAGAACAACCTTAATAATAACCTTAAATAATCGGCCCCTAGACGCTGTATATCAAAAGAAAACACACAGTATTTAAAAAAATTGATGGTTTTAAGAACCACTTTTAATAAAACACCAATAAAATATGAAAAAAATCTTACGAAATGACATTGTAAAATTACAGTCGCATTTTGCACAGTTAAAAGAGGCAATTAAAAAGGGGGTGAAAACCACGTAAAAAAGGATTTCAGGTTTACAATCTCTTATCTTAATCTAATAATAAAAACAATTAAAGACGCCACTTGAGCCTTGGTACTCTTACACGTTATGACCGGCCTGTCCAAACTCACCTCGTCCAGCTTTGATTTCAGCTCCCTCTTCTCGGAGCACAGCGACTTGAATTTCTGGTCCGTGTCGAAAGTGTTAATGGACGTCGACGCCGACCGGGACTTGTCCATAGTACCCACCACCCTCACCCTTTCGTTCACGTTGGGGTTCCCTCTCATCTCGATTACCTGATAAATTGTCATTTTTGATAATCGATTGCATCGATTAATTATGTCATGTAGGAATGGATTGGGAAGGCAGTGAACAAAGCAGTAGTGTACTTCCACTCAAAACGGTTCGGAATTCCAAAAAGCTTTTGCGAGAGAGTCAGCGTATGGCTGTGCGGACAGGACAGACACTTGCACGCGCGCACAGCTGTTACCGAATCTGATTCGTAAATGACTTCGTCATACACAGGGACGCATCACTGATTGCAGACTCCAGTCGGACGGACCCTCAAGTTGCACGTTAACTTCCGTTTCCATGGCTCCACTGGTAACTCTATGTGCAGTGGGCGTGGTTTAAACTGAAGTGACGTCACACTTACGAACCGGATAGCCTCGTGCAGGGCATGCGCTGTTTGAATAGAGAGCTTGTTCATTTCGTGATTGGCGACTGGACTCTGTTTGAAAGTTTTTTGCACTGACAAAATAGGTTCCTTTTCTGATATTTTTAACCAGCCAAATCGATTCAAAGAACAGGCATGCAGTGAAATTTAACCTCTGCTCAAAAGAGAAAGATCCTGTTGGGTGGCTGAAACCCACCTTCGGAACGAAGACCAAACACAGGGTCACCGTGGAACAGAAGAGGATAAAGACTGACACCAGGCCGTAGGAAGCGTTGGGATTGTCCTTGATGACAGAGGAGAGAGCCACGCCCAGTACGCACATGATAACGACGTTGTAGACGCTGCTGCCGATGTACTTGCTGTCGTTCAGCGCCGGGATGCTGACGTGGCGAGTCTCCCAGGCCAGGAACAGGCCAAAAATCTAGGAGGAGAGGAAACGCAGTTAGACATGGAGATACAAGAAGGCGTGAGCTGCGCATCGGCAACTAACATAATCGTCAAAAGCTAAGTCATAACCAGTGCTTTATTGCTCAAAATTTCTGTCTGTTGATGACGGTCAGAGCACCCTGACCGAAACGTCAAGTTCAAACATGCGGTTCCTCTAAGAACTACACCTTAAGAACTACACTTCTCTCTTTTGAGAAGGTATCTTGAAATGGTGCATAGGCAAGAACTTTTCTTGATGTACTCTCCACCATGCAAAGCCTCAAATCACAGTTATGTATAGCTTACAGAAACCTTTTCTTAGCATAATTATATTTACCATCAAGACCCCCTTGTAGATGTAAATCACCGCCAGCCAAATCGTCATGTTGGCACTGACACAAGTTTCCATGACAGGAATAATCATGACGTCACGGCCAGAGGTGTCCATCTGGGAAATAACGGAGTGTATTCGGATTTCAAGATGTTTTCGTCTTTTATAGCGATCCTCTTTAACTTGATTTGCCATTTTCTCTCACTGGGTCCCAAAAAACATTCCTTCGGTCTATTTTTACTTGACAAGGACGACTGAATAACGACTAGCAGGTGTCTTGGATTACTAATCTATCTGTTGATCTTCTTATACTGATGCGTAGATCGACGTTCATTAATTCTTGTAATGTGATGAAATTAGCTCATCCATTGAATTAAGTAATTACAGTCTTCAATTGTCTTTTCTTTTTTCGTAAACCTCTTAGATTGATCGCCTAGATTTCCTCACCCTTGAGCTGAGCTCCAGACTTGTGGGTTTCATGGGATCTACGATCTGCCACACCACCAGGATGATCAGGTCGATCACTGCCATGAAGCCCACAATGGCCATCAACTGCCCATCTTTAATAACCTGCATTCAACCAAATGCAGTGATTGCAAAAGAAGCATTTGGTAACTCATTTCAAATCATTATTCTCTCTACACCGCTAACTTGTCATTGTTTTCTTATGAAGTGCATTTTAAGTTGGACCTAAGCGCTGTAGAGGTTTTGCAAAGGTGTACCCATGCGCATCCATGCGGAACGAGAGAGCTCACCTCCAAGATGGCTGCCACGCAAACTCTATAGACATATACATCAGTCTTGTAGGAGTCTTCCCGCTAATTCAAATGAGCCAGTTCGGTATTCCAACCGCGCATGCCCAGTACAAGGCTATTCGGGAACAGTTACGTGCGCGTGCTTTTTTGTTCCCAAATGACCTTAATTTTTTTTGAACTTTGACATATGTACCTTCTTTTTCATCTTGATGTTCGTGAAGATCCGGTGGACTCTCCAAGTCTTGCTGAACATGGCACCAAATGCTAGCGTGAAACCGAGACACAAGAACCAAGCCCGGGACTGCAAATAACACCAAAGCGGTCACACGTTGACTTGAAAAGGTTCACTGTATTAGGCCTACGATTAAAAACAACCTTTCCGTGCAATAAAAACAACCTGCATGTTCTTTTGGAGGCGACGAGCCTGTGCACGGAACGCACAACTTTTGCAAGATATTGTTAAACCCGTTCAGTTTCGTATCCCTCTTCTTGATCGGTATTCAAGGAAACTGACAGGTTTTAGAACTCCCATTGCTGATGGGAACTTTTTTTCTACTATAAAATGCGAGGACAGCATCCTCACGATATGAAAAATTCAGGAAAGGGTATTTCGGAATACGGCCGTTTCACAATAGTGCGCCATCAAGAGTTTGCAACGCGTTGGCCCATCACAATGCGCGAAATCTGTCGACTAAAGGTGCGTTTGGAAAGAGTCGACAGATTTCGCGCGTTGTGATTGGCCAACTCGTTGCAAACTCTTGGTGGCGCACTATTGTTAAACGGCCGTATTCCGAAATACCCTTTCCTGAATTTAAAAATCGGCATACTTACCGTGCATATGGCCTTGTATGCTTTGGAGTGCAGCGAGATACCGTGATCGATACCGAGAAGCACCACGCTGACGTAGGTCAGTATACCACCCATGATGATGAAGTTGTTCAGAAACGGACTGGACATTTTGATGTATCTGTTTAAAACAACATTTTGAGAGGAGCCCTTTTGAGAAGATCCCTAGGTGGTGTGCTTCAAAAGTAAAGTTAAAAATTATACTTTGAAGCTGTTCAACAGCTTTTTTGCAGTTTATCTCACACATTAGTGTTCAAATTCTTATCTTGTCCGTTAGGTCGACTGGAAACAACATGTCTGAATTTCGACATTTTATTACAAGATTGGATTTTCCTGGTCTGGAAGGCGGTTTTGAGTTGAGTTTCCTGTGTCAATGGCCTGTAATCATGAAAGTTGAATCCGCAGCCAAAATTGGGCTCTTGCAAGCTCCATATATGAAATTGCCACTATGTCCCAAGGGAAACACGTTGATAACTTTTATGACTCCCACCGACGCGCACATCCTATCCACCTTGCGCAGAAGCACCCCCTATTGGTTCAAAAGAGCCGTGCTGGCGTGGAGTGCTCGTTTTGACTTATTCACGTCGGTTCTCTATTACCGCTTTGTGTTCAAACGTGAATGGACAGGGTTTCCAAGAATATGTCTTGAAAACGCAAAACACCGTTAAACTGCGAGAGAACCTAAAAAGCTGCGTCCTAACCTCTGGTTTCTGTATCGCATGTTGAAAAACAAAAATCCGAAGGCCATGATGATTCCCGCTATGGCGATAGCCGACATACCGCCAAAGAGAGCCAGCGATACACTGAGCTGTTCATATTCGGTCATCTGCGTGTCTCGGGGCGGCTTATCACCTCCGCCTGCCGATTAGAGAGAAAAGAGACATGTATAGTAACAACAAATTATTCCTACTTCTTATAAATTTTAGGGTTTTGTGGAGAATGGAAGGTGGGCACACAAGATTTGGGCCATAGTTCCAAAACTTGTAGCTGTCAGGTATAAATGACTAATGGCTTTGGTTACCTTATTTTCATAACAAAGAGAACGCTACATTGTTTAAATTCTGACATGCTCAGAATTATTGATACCCTTTACCAATAAGAGTTAATATCACAGTTTATAGTCAATTGCAAAGCCCTTGTTCTTGATTACAACATCTGGGCGGTTTGTGTAGCTGTTCACGAGGGTTTGGCACAGCTCCACGGAATTTTGGCCCACTCCTCCTTGGGCAAGACCTCTAGCTGTTTCAGGTTGGACCAGGCCTGCGGGCATACACCTTGGACTTGAGGGTTTTCCACAGGTTTTCGATGAGATTCGGGTCTGGGCTTTGGCTTGGTCATGGTAGCACCTCCACGTTATTGTGCTGGAACCATTTCTTGACTGTCATCGCCGTATGTTTACCATCATTGTCCTGTTGGTATGTCCAGTTTGGGCCGAGATGGAGATTTTCTGCAGACTGCTGGAAATTATCCTGCCGAATCTGAATGTACTACCCCTTCTTCGGAGTTCCTTCTACTTGTACGAGATTGCCGGGCCCACTTGCAGAGGCACAGTGTTCTTTGGGTTGAATGTTTCACCTTTCTTGAGCCAAACGAAGGAAACATCCCTGTGGCCAAAGAGCTCCATTTTCGTCTCATATGACCATAGAACTGATGACCAGAAACTTGGATCCTTGTCTTGGTGCCCTCTGGCAAATGCGAGTCAAGCTTTTCGCTGCCTGTAACTGAGGAGAGGGGTCTTGCCCATGTATCCCATGCGGTGAGCGAGGGATTGTCTGAGCTGAAACCTTGGTACCCATCTCACTCAAGTAGTCTTGAAGTGTCTTGATTGTTGTTCTGGGGTTGGAGAGGCCCTTGCAGCGCACTTTCCTAACCAGACAAAGGGACACCTTCGGCTTCCGTCCACGCTTGCCGTCGTTTTTCACAGTATTGAACTTTGGTACTTCTTGACAATGCACGGTACAGCGGCAATTGGTATAACCTGAGGAGCTTGGAAATGGTTTGATAGCCTTTCCCATCTTTGTGCGCATTCACCATGCTCATTACAATGTAACCATTTGTACAAATCTAATCTGGGAAAATTCATGTACAAACTTATGCACAATCTACTCCCTTCCAGTTTTAATTTTTGTTTTACTTATGCATCTAACATTCATAATTATTATACTAAAAGCAGAGTGACGGGAAACTTGTATGTCCAATTTAACAGAACGTCACTGGCTAAGAACGATGTTACTCATCAGGGTATCTTGTATTGGAATGGTCTAGACGATTCTCTCAAATCATTACCTTCTTTATCTGTTGTTTGTTGGAAAACTAAAAACCCAGTTGCTCGGCTCATATTCCTAAATCATATTTATTTGTGCTCTTTTAATGCGACGTCGTTTCACACTTGTTTGTTCTGTCTTGCTCGTCATTTTGTCTGTTCTATGTTAGATTGTATGGTTGGTTTATCTGTCTGTAGGTTGGGGGCACATTCCTGCTTAACCTTAAACCTAAATGTTGTTATCTAACTTATCAAATGTATAATCCTATTTGATGTAATGTTACTCAATTTAATGACCAGGTATATTTAGTACTTAAGTAATGTAACATGTTTGGTTACATTGTAAAGAATGACAGCACTGAAATAAATGTTTCATCATCCTCATGATGCAGAGATCCTCACTGAGTTTTGTAGTTTTCCCCATGTTCACAACAACTGAGGAAGACTCCACGATTGCACTTTAGAGGCAGAGTATTGACAACGACATTCCACAAATCAAGCGCAATAGACGAAATTCTTAACTTATTCCTAGAGGAAGTATACACTGTTGCATATATTCAAAACATTTTGCAGAATCTTAGGAATGTCTAGAGCATGTGAATTTTAGAGGAATGTGGCCAAATACCATGACACGCAGAAGGCTATGAATAATTCTGAGCATGTCAGAATTTACTCAATGTAGCATTCTCTTTGTTATGCAAATGAGGTGAAACCAAAGCTATTTATAATTGACAGCTAAAAGTATTTTAATATGGCCCAAATATCATGTGCTCACCTATCATTCTTTAGAAAAATACAAAAAACCCAAAATGTTAAAGGGTGTGAATAATTTTATTGTTAACTGTAAATTCTAAGCACGCATTGATGACCACAAAGGAAGCAAGTTAGTGCTGATACCATCGCAATAAACAGTCGAGGTCATTTTCACTGCCAATCACGTGGTACAGTCACAGAAGGGATATAAGCTCAACAAGACTTCTCGTTCAAGTGAAACAATTCACACTCCTCAAACAAGAGTATTGTATTAATTTCGAAACTCCAATGCAAAGAATCAGTAAAAGAGCAAGCTGTTAGATTAGACTTGCACGAGTCCATGCAACAGTTCGGTTATCCACCTGCAATGGCCCATTACTTACCCGGCCACTCGAAGCCTCGTCCCGACGACAGGTTGAGCGAGTCGGTGATAGCGTAGTACTCTGCCACTTTCTCTAACTCCTGACCTTGGAGCTGCTTATGGACGGTGGAGCCAAGCCGCTCACCCCCTCGAAACTGAACAATACCCTGCAGTTTGAAGTCAAGTCCCCTCAAAATCAATCAATACTTTTAAAGTCAAAACGAATTTCATAAACTCACGTCCTAGGGGCTGCTTGGAAAATATAATTATCCACATTGTTTTGACTGGATGTATATTCCGAAAATATGGAGGTGGGTTGACGGTAATGTCAGTTAAGGTATATGGGTAACATTTTCACAAACCCCAATTTATACGTTTTAAGCAAAAAATATATTTATTACAACCATACCAAAATTGTGTAAAATAATGGGTTCCTTGGTATATCATCTTGTACAAGCGAGTTCTGCATTTCCCCAAGAATATTTTGATGCTACCCAAGTGAGTCATGGGTTAAACAAATAGGCGCGCGCGCGAAGATATTTTCATAACCGCTGATGACCCACCGTTACTCCGCGGAAGTTGGTGTCGTTCATGGCCTTGCTGAACATCTCCAGCAGGACGTCGTCCGAATAATTGAAGCCCTGGAACCTGGCGAGTTCTCCCCGATATCGTAGCGCCTGCAGCACGCTGTCCAGCGCCCGGGCCATGACCCACACGCCGTCATAGGCATAGCCATGAAAAGTTGAATATTCGTTGCCCCTTAGTTCGTTATACATTTTTTCGTACTCTTGCGGCGTCTTAGGAAACAAACACAGAGACGTAAATTAACGAGCAAAGAACTTGAATACAAGGAGAGTAAATCAGAAATGTACTTTGCACACAGCCTGCTTTTTTCTAACATACCTACATACTTACTACTTTAATAAAATGTGATTACTATGTTATATCATGACCACTCGATCCAACTACCCACTGCCGTCCGATCGTCAAGGCCGCTGCAAAAATGCCATTACTTGGAACATGAAAGTAATAAATTATCGCATTCTGAGATATGTATGTCATGGTTCTACACGAGACTATTAAGCTGATAACGCGTTGAAGTGAGCGTGTTCCCCTTGAATGAAACAAACTGCGAGCCAACCAGTTTAGGCCTTAGATGAAATAACCTTTAAAAATTGATTTTTTTTCCACAGAAAACAGACTGAAAAAAAGAAGAGAAAGACAGTACTCTCTGGGATATGAACCCCAGACACCCGCATTCCCAATCCCTTTCTTTATCCGCCACATACACCATGCCAACCTGTCAGACCCAAACCCCGTTCTTTCCTTCTTTCGTGCACACGACCCCAAATAGTGATGCTGAAGCCCGTAAGTAATTCAAGTGCTTATTAGAATATATATTACCGGCACACTAAGAAACATGGCATTTAGGTGTAAAAGCCTCGTTTATTGACAGAGGTGAGGAGTCGGGTCGGAAGCAATAACCATCCGACTTGAATTTCAAACATTCTTCAAGTGCCGTGTTTCTACCGTTTACCATTCTAAAACACTTTCCAATAACTGTTTGAAGCATGGGCTCCATAGGTTCAGGATTTCAACTCACATATCCGGATTCGGTGGGCTCGTCCGATCCACTGAGGGGTAGCAAGTCTGTCGAGATGTACCCCTGGAGTGCCTGCTGCAAGTCCCTCTGCGAGCACCCGTCTGACTCGTCCCCAGAGCGCCACCAATCGGGCTGGAACCATCCAGGCAACAGCCACACATGGGTCGTCTCGTACATTCCCTCGTTAAACGCCTGCGCAAAGGCAAACACAATGTCAGTAAGTAAGGCCGCCTACGACCCCAAGCACGTTATATACTTGATTAGCTTTCAAATTAGATGCAACCTCGTACCTACAGTTTCACACGCGAGGCACTAATGGCAACCCCCGGTTAGGGTTATCCAGGGGAAGCTACTCTATCGCACCGACTGTGAGACGTGCATATGACGTCACTAGCTACGTGATCAATGCGGAGCACTACAATAATAACGCATACGTGTTTTTCCCAGTTCCGTTCGTGCTTAAAGTCCAAAATCTATCAAGAGCCAGCTGCTCCTCCACCTTGTCAAAATCTAGATCTTGATTCTGCATCTTTCTCGAAATAGAACGACCACCAAGCTCTTCTGTAGGGATCTCTGAATTACAGCGTTTGCAGCGGTTTAAATTACTGGAATCTAACAGACTTTTTTGGCAGGTGGTGACTTCGGATTCTTTAGCCATAAAGTGCACGCCTATAGAGAGTACGCTTCATATTTCCTACCAGAGTTCATTTCCCTCAAATAATTACTGCACTCTTGGACCTGTTTGCTTATCCAATTCCAACCATCCTCGGAGCCTCGCTACCCCCAACCACACACCAGCTGATGGACTATGCCGTTAAAAAGACAGCTAAATACCGGCAGCCGGGCAACCTGCTTCCCCGCGTGGAAATTAACTTCCCGTTAATCAAATATTCGCGATCGAAGGGTAAATAAAATATCAAATAAGACGAGGGAGAGATGCAAATCACGGGTAGCCGAACGCTGTGCGGGAGGTGCGCTCGGAATTGCCTCTCGTCTCCCAATTTAATTGCGGGCTCGAATTAGCCCTCTCAGATCGGCCATTGAAGGGAAATTAGACTTCGAATCACCCCAGACACGCCGATCGCAAATTGAAAAGCCGGTCGGGGGCTGCGCTGCTCGCACTGTCCGCGCGAACCAGCGACGCGGCATGTATTGACCCGCTTTTGGCGAGAACTGTGATTTGGAGCGTCACATAGGGAAGCTGGACGCAGAATGTTGACGCAAGATTTTATCACACAAATGTGCTGTATGACGAGGAACGCTACATGGGCAGATTCAATAGAACGTTCTCGTGGGGGACAAAATTTCAGTCAGATTCCGGAACGTAGTGTATTCAGTGGAAAACATTAAAATTTAAGAACCAGACTCTATTCTACGATTTCATTCGACCCCCAGAATCACCTGATACCTTCCCATTACGAGTTTCGAATGTATACAAAACGTTCATACATATGACTGAAATTGGGCACCCCGCGAATAAGGTTCGTTCAAACAACTGGCCTGAAAACAACCAAACTGTAAACTGTACAGATATCAAGCAAGTAACATGACCAGGTCTGAGTCTAGATGGAACAAAATGGAAGGTGTTTCTGACAATTGTCTGATACTTTATCCCCGATGAAAGTGTTTAAACCGAATGGGGGTATCACCTCGAGCAGACGCACCCCCACCGGTTGAAAAGAGCCATATTGGTCGGGAGTGTTCATTTTGCCGGTAGCCATGCGACCGTATTATTTTATGCCCGTGCATTTCATAGTCGTTCGTGAACCAGCTAAGTGCAGTTCAGGCCAAAGGAGCCCCGGTGCAAAGAAAACTGCGCCCTCTCTTACTCCAGCTCGAGGCTCATTGCAGTCTACTCCTAGTTATGAGGGGCTCCCACTTCCCTTTTTTAAAATTACAGTATGCAAGAAGACTTGGTTGGTTGTTCTTTCGAATTTGACCGTGCAGCGATTCGACGCATCTGGGTCTCGAGTCACTCCTGACAATCAAATTGAAGACCCCGCGCACGATGATCATCCGAAATTTCTCATTAGATGTGCATTAGGCCCCTGGGGCGACCTTTCTCTTTTTCGGTATGGACGCCATCGGCAATCAAATTATTTCAAAATGTCCTCGGATCGCTTAGATCCAGGTGGCTTCACGGCCCATGGCAACTTGATTGAAAACAGAGGCATCCAGCAATAGGGAATGCTCAACGGTGAAAATTGCATTGTCGTGCAAATGACTCAGAAATAGAACTACGTGTATTTATAGTGGTCACAGGCGTATTACGTTAAACAACGATTAATGAAGGAAATAAGAAACTCGAAGTTAAAAAGGGACCAGTCTCAGCTAACAAACTCACCTTACAGATGACCTTTCGCGCCATGTTCTCATCAAAGAAGCCAACGATAATTCTGGCCTTAACGTCCTGCAGATGAATAAAATAAAGGGATGCTTACATTTTTTCTTTCTTAATGGTTGGAAATTTCAGCCTCATTGGGCAAGGACAGCAAAATCATTGCATTTTCGACGATATGATGTTATCCTTTAGGGCCAATTTTGTCTTGTCGAGTCGCTTACGCTATACGCGCGTTTAGACAAGGATTTTATGAAATATGACAGAGCCGTTCACGCGAAACGTCAAATGCATAAAGGCACTTGAAAATGAAAAAGCATTCCTTAACGGACAGCAGGCCTATGGTACTTTACAGATGAACCTGAAACGGATGCACCTGCATTAATTGATGCAAAAATTTCAATAAAATGGGGGGGGGTCACTTCCGTCGACGTTCTTCTAGGGAAAAAACCAGTATTTATCTGCTGTAAATTATCGTTTCAGGTGTGAGATGTAGTGCTGTAGCCACAGGGGCCAGGGGGGCACGTGCCCCCCTCCACAAATTCTCCGTGCCCCAGGTGCCCCCTCCAACTAAAAAAAACGGCTAAATGGATATTGAACAAGGCTAACAAAAACTTTCCCCCAAAAAACCACACCACTGAAAGTTGGTGCCCCCATAATATGCGGGTGCCCCCCCCCACTATTAAAATATTAAAATCCTAGCTACGCCACACTGGCAAGATGCCTCCGGAATGCTATCACCCACACCAGAATTAAGCCTTGCAGTTTTTTTTTTATCATCGTGCCATGTTTGCCCGAGGTAAGGCTCATAGCTTCTTGGGGAGGTTCACAGTTAAAATTGGCGACAGAACAAGCCCATCGCTGGTAGACCCGCATCTGTACAGGGTGTCAGTGTCGTTGCTCGATATTTTGTCTCGGACCGTCGCACCGTGTAGTTCGTGCGCGTGGACGTAGGGAACCGACGTACCGTGTCTATATACCAAGGTAAAATCGATCAAACCACTGGGCTATAGTAGGACTTCATTACGGCATGACGGATGGAGGTTAAATTCAATTAGCGGTACAGATCGTAACTGTAATGGCTGGACTCCTAATACGGACCGCACGTAAGCTCATCAATGACCGTGATTGATCGCCCGTAGATTTTCGTTCCGGTTGCCAGTTGGCTCTGATCCCTCTAACTTAAATTTCTTGCAGATCGCTTCTTAAATGGAAGAGATCGTGATCGATTACCCTTTGAAAAATAATAAAGAAATTTCTCCGGAATACCAATGAAATGTTGCAGTTTTATATGCTGAATATTTTGTCAATCTAAGCACAGGTTTTGCTCCCATTGCGCACGTTCTGAAAAAGCACTTTCATTTAATACAATGACGTACATGGTCTGTGTCAATCTCAGGTAGGAGAGCTTTATGTTTTGGAGATATCGTTATTCCCTTTTGCACAGCAGGGCTCCGACTCGAACTTGAAAGAGAGAAAACTAAATGAAAGTCTCGGCTACAAGAAATCTTCTCACTCAGCGGGTCATTTAAACGACGCAAAAGATTTGCAAGTTGAGGCTCGGTTTTGGTGTTGTGAGCGCAATACCTCAGAACTAGCGGAAAATGAAGGTTTCTAAGTTACACAAAACCGAGGGTATGTGCATAGCAGACACTTCGTGGCGTTGCTCCACATTAAATGCAGACAAACTGTCTGCTGCCACCTAAGGATTGAAAGGCCAACAATTTGAATCATTGTCTTGACATCCAAGCTACAGTCCACTAGAAATGTGACTGGTGTCAAAGAGAATTTGTTTCGTTGAGGGTGACATTCAACTATGCATTCTGTTCATCACTGAACGAGACTTCAATTTGCTATGTCCGCATTAACTCCACAGCAGCGCATGTAGGTCACGTGCCCGAATGAACCGCGGCCGGTAAGTTCACCAACTACACGCCCAGATGATCCATTCCCCTCTTCATTTCGACGGATCGCGTTTCGCACCTCGGCCTGCTTGCTCGACTCTCTCCCCAGGCATTCTCACACCAGAGCACCGCGCTCGAGTGCCCGTGGCTGCCTAGGGTTTCTGTGGCCCTATACTACTCTTGGAACCGCGCGTGCCCGCAGCTGCCGTTTGAAGTTCGCCCAAAACACCGCGAATGGCACGCTTCGATTTGTTTTCCTGTCTATGGCACCCCTCCGTTACGAGGACATTTCCGCCGTCTCAAGTAGACGGGACAGTGCCCGTGCATATACGCGCGCGGGGGGGCTTTTAGCGATATCCGAAGCGACCCTGATTGTACACTTAGCATCGGATTCGGATTAGCGGTGCCCAATATGGAATTCGATAAGGGCTCTCCGCTGTTACACAAGACGTGCCTCCATGTAATGTGCATGTAATTACACCTGTAAAATCGAATGTCGGGCAGATCTGGATCCTTTTTACCTGCCACTAGCATATCTTCTGGCATGCAGCACACACAACTGGCCAATAGAGCGGGGAACCTTCTGCCTGTTCAGGTGTTACATTTTTCAGAAATCAGAATCCGCTCTCCAACCCAATCTTTTAACTATCGATTCCTTTCGGATGCGATAATTAATGGTATCGAGTCCGCAGCACGGGCAAAGAAGTCCCACCACTACCACTGCATCAATGTGAACTACTTCCTTTACCTGGCTTTCAAATTCCACACGGCTAGACTGTTTAATTATCCAGGAAACCACCACAGAATAATTGTGTTATTCAGACAAATGTATACCGCAAACCAGAGCCATGAAACCGTTTCCTTTCTGCCTTCTTTTAGCCAAGATTGGGTGGCACCCTTTCTTCATTTCAGGCGGCACATATATTTGATACGATACACGTGGAAATCTTTTATGAAAAATAATACAAAGCAGATGAATAGAGAAAAACGTTGTGTATTTATCATTTACTACGTATTAAAGTCTGGCACCTGTTTTCAATCAAGAATTATTCTGAATGCGCGTGGTCAACAATGGAGCCAAGATCTTAAAGCGCCATCTCTTCAAAACTCGACATTTCATCAAAACACTGCACTGAATAAAATCGAAAACTGGTGCAAAAACTTGTGCAATATAAATATACTCTAAATTCCAACAAAATGACGTAGCATTGTGCCGGCATGGGGCATTTAAGGAACTTAAACTTATCATACATGGCATGCTCTAAGATTCAAATTCCTTTGAGAAGCACAACAAAAATCTTTCTCATTATCCGTCAGCATCGCTTGAATCGTAGCCCCCATGTCTGTGTTACCAATGCCCATTTGCAAATCGCACCCATCCATGGATACATGATGAGCGTCTTCCGAACATGCGGTTACACTTTCAAGTATCCCCTTTATCGAGACGCTGCAAGGGGCTCGCCGACCGCGCCGTTCCCTGAACTCCCAGACGAATCATTCCATGCGTGTGTCCCATCGCCAAATCTAATTTATGGATCTGAGTGGTGGTAAATAATTGAGTTACGACCAACGTAAATGGCCAGAGCTGTTGATTAAATGTCCAATTACCGGCCCTACTCTTGTCGGTTCATACCGCTCGGTGGGACCGGTGAAGGAACATTCCTGCCCGCTACGCGCACCTGCACGCGATACCAAATTGCCACAAAACTACTCAGAGCACTTGATGACAGGTTTATAATTTTCCAAGATTTTTTGGTATGGAAGGAAAGGGGAACTAATGAGAAAAAAATTCTTAGCATGCCATGGTAAAAGCTCAGAACCCCGGACAGACCAATGAAAAAAGTTCTGCTATTTTCAGTCAGGCCTGATATTATGTATGCCAAAACCAAACAGACTGGTGAAAGGGTCAGTGTCCTATGCGGCAGCAATTCTCCATTTCAAGATGTACTTTGCGTTGGAGAGATGTTAACTCTAATTACGGGTTTTGCCCCTACCCGACAGATATTCATAAAAACTGTAACTGTAGCGATTGTCCAGGGGCTTAAAAAAAAAAGCTTAATCGGGTGGGATTCTAACCCGCGACCTCCAGCTTACTCGGACCGGTCGACTGGACAGCTGACCCCGGCAAGCTCGGAGGTCGCGTTGGCAAGACGTTTGCACTATAAGTAAGAGGTCATGGGTTCAAGTCCCGAGTAAGCTTGTAAAATTTTTGCAAGCTCCCAGACAAGCAGCAAGTATACAGTGTTTATCATGACATACGTCGGGTAAGAGCAAAACCCGTAATTAACATTCTCAATTTAGTAAAAATTCAAGAAGAAATGTAGATCAAAACAAGCTTATTTTTTATAGATAAACATTAGATGTTTCAATAACTCACACAAATCCGTCATATCACAATAGCTGACTGAAAACAAACCGGTAGTCTCGAAAATATCCTTGACCTCCGACCGCACCCGATCCGACAACCCACCGCTACTAGCGAGGCTTGTGCAGAAAAATAACCTGCAAGAACTGTGATGCTAATATATTATCGTATGATGCAGTACTGTAATCAAACGTATAAGTGAGGCGTCATTAAAATTTGCAAGCAGAAGGCTAGAACAAGCCTCACTTATAAGTTTGCCTACTGTATTGCATCTTACGATAATATATTAGCATCACAGTTAGAGCATGGCTATTTTGCTGCACAGGCCTCACTTATGAGTAGCGGTGGGTGGTCGGATCGGGTGCCGACCAAAGTTTTATCTTCTTCAAGTTAAATGATGTTTCTCCAGAACTCTTCCTGTCATATTTTTGCACTTTTGAGGATCTTCTGAAAGTGGTACTCCCCAAAACACAATTTCATATTCCGCACAACAGCTCAAGCGTTCAGTAACCTGTCGTGGATCACAGACATCTCAAAACAAAAATTGCGTCATGAGAACATAGCATGGTTAGTAGAAGAATGCCTCTGCTTTATTTTGCAAAATGTCATAATACGGGCGATTCGCAATAGTGCGCCTCCAAGAGTTTGCAACGCATTGGCCAATCACAGTGCCAGAAAACTGTCGACCATTTCCCAACGCGCATTATATCGACAACTTTCATATTGAACTACAAATGACCGTGTAAATTGCATGGCAAAACGACACGCGTTCATGCCCTGCGTTTCGACGCGATACGAACAACCCAAAGATGTAAATTCCAACGCTGCCACTGCATTCGCCGATGTCAAACTGTGACCATTCACAAGGTTGCTCTGATGCCGACTGGATCCTCGGTGCGTCAACGACCTCGTGACGCGGACAGACAACGGAAGATGCAGATCGCCCAATCGCTTCATCGATGCCGTGAAGGCTGAGAAAGAAATCGTGATCCGATCATTTCCTCTCTGTAGACGGAATTAACGGTCCTACATTAGTTTTATTTCATCGTTGCCTGAGTCAGCGCGATGGCCTTGAGGCAGTCTTATCTTCCGGACATCAATCGTTTCGTGCCTAACTGCCCCATCAACCAATCACAGCTCGTGACATCTATCTCAGTCAAGGCAATATCATTTTAGCGTCTATGGTTACAAAAAATTCAAAGCAAACGCGCAACCATTATCGTACACCATTTACGGCGATTAAATCTCGAACCTACAGATGTAAAAATCATCCCATAAGCATGAAGAGATCCTAAATTATGGCTGAATTATGGTCATTGCACTGCAAACAAGAAAAATACTATCACAGACATAATTAAGAAGATTGCATTAAGGACATAAGTCTCCCAAGTTATTTTACAAACTGACTACAGAGAAGGCACAGCAACCAACGTGCTAAAAGGCAACAGCAATGACTACCGGTACAGTGCCGCTTGAGGTGAGTGATATTAAACTGTGTCGTTTTTACACCCACAGTCACTGTGAGTAGAGCTGGCGTGAACTCGGCAAGGAAAGATTGAGCTGACATCATTTCCTCTATGATTTCGAGCCGGCACGCCGCACTTCTATTTTTGGACATTTGCAATGAAGTGACTCTCAACAGGCTTGACACGTCCATGATATATTTTTCTGCATATGTGGTTGTCAATTACCGTTTTGACAACTTTTTTTCCTCTGTCAGTAACTGCTTCTTCCGAAAGATATTAAGGAAGTGATGTATCGTCAATTGTATTTGTTTCCAAGTGCGGTTCCAAGGCAGCCTTAGTGCACGACAAATTTGTCTGAACATACCCAGGTAAGAGCAATGTCCAAGAGTGTGTACATAGATCGGGACATCAAACACAGCCAGCCGGGTCGATGGGTTGACTAAGGCAGCGCTAAATCCGGCTTGCTATTTTCTGAAGGCTTAAAGTTACGGTCAAACTCAATTCCTGACTGCGCTCCTTTATTTGATCTGCCTCTGCGCAGGATATATGCCGCTAGGGGGAGAATCTCCAGCCGGCCTACCGACTGATCACGATCGTGACTGACGAACCTTTTTTTTCCCACACCGATGGTAAATTACTTCGCCGGCCTTGATAAATAATTCGGCGGCACTGATCGGAGGAATCTCCCTCCAAGCGCAGCGATAAGATCACGAAAACTAACTGGTGTCGTGGTCTTTTTTTTTTCTTTTGGGAAAATGAAGATTTTGTGTTGATGCCGGAGATAATGTCAGCTGACAAGGTATTAGATAGAAGTAAGAGCTGATCAGTAGTTTTAGAACAACGTCATCAACTTGGTTGCCGAGTTACAATAGCGTCGGTGCTCACAGAAATATAAATCAAAATGCACCACATAGCCCAAAAAGAATCGAACGCTAAGTTGGCACCTAAAGATTAAGTTTTCTCAAACCAAAGTGACAAGACCGATTCCTTAAACTCCACTTCTGAAATCCTGCCCAAAAAGATATGGACCGGTCATAGCCGTGATTACACATTGAAATGCCCGACAAATCAACACCTTTATCCTGTAAAGTGTAACGTGTGTTGCCGGAGACTTTGGGAAACCTACGAGGCATCGAGGCAATGCAAATCTTGCCCTCTTATAGGCAGAATATACCAGTAGCCGGGGTTAATCACTGAAAGGAACAGAAATCCAATCAGTTGCAGGTGAACTTTAGCCAAGAAATTAGCTCAGTGGTTCTACGTTAGATTTCTACGCTAATAAAACACGTCCGATAGAAACATATATCTCATAATTACGTTGTGGTAGGTAAAGCTCAAACACATCTCACACTAATAATGCTTTCAATGCCTTCAAAGTATGGACTAATCCGATCGTTGTAGACGCCATAACCAAAGATCGTATAGCCCCGCGAAGCGGCGCAACATGGCGAACTTCACCGTGAATACACGTAAAACGTTGTAATCACATTGGCGACATTTAAGCAAGCGATGCGCGTGCGCAATGCACATTAATGCACAGGCGCAAGCGCCGCGGCAGGCACGTTCACCTGGTGAGCCTGTGCCCAAGCATTACCGTAAACTATGCAGGCGTATCGCTTGCTCAAATGGCGCTCATGGTAATTACATCTTTTGGGCAGAGTTATCCATCTTGCGCCTTTGGCGCTATACGATCTTTGGCCATAACTGCGGGGTGCCACGCTCACACTCACATTCTTCAAGTTGATGCTCACGCTTGGCAAATCACGACATCCTATTGGTCGACGACGCATGCAACGCACGCGTAGCACCTGTCCACGAGCGTCGTATCAACGCAATAATGACTTCTATGGTCGAATCACGCTATGGGGGACTGTATTCCGAAATTGAAATGGGGGTGGAAACAAAGATGCCATTCATATAACCAATCACAACAATCTCGAATTTGAATATTCAACATTTCGAAAACATCCCTAACGAGCGCTTCGGTAAATACAAAGGCAAAGGAAAGTTAATCAACAAGGAGAGATATTCTGCAACGGAAGCTATTAGTAACGGAGAACAGGTTGACAGAGATGCGCTATCCATCATTTTGTTGATCTCGGGAGAAGGTGCCACAGTGATGCAAATGACACCAGTGTGTCCCTCGGTCATCGACATCGGCAGAAAATGCCAAGCAAATCAATCGTCCTGACGATATTAACCTCGCGTGCACACACAAAAGAAGACTGCCGGGCAGATATACACGGTGAATCACCACTTGATTTGACATCAATCGCGCTTACGACAAGAGCACGGCGTGCGTAACACTTTCCCGGCCGTTGGAGCGGTTTCATTCGTGCCGTTAGTGCCCTCCCATGAGTTTAGGAGTGATACTGGCAGATAAGATCAATACACTAGCCAAAAATAAGTCCCGAAAACATTTGTTAAGCTTCCCCATCAAAAAATCATGCGGCGTTGATTTGTTATGCCAGAAGGTCTTGATAGAAATAATTTGTATGCAATACCGATACATCACCTGATACTACATAAATAAAAATAAATGGGGAAGGTTAATCACCAGTTATAAGAAGCAAGGCAAGGATGTAATTAAATGTCATGTCAAAGATATATTACAGTCTTCAGTTTTTCAACACACGTTATGTTAATATAGCTTTGATTGGGTCATTTTTTCTAATTTTAAAGGAAAACAGCATAATAATCTTTCTCTATAATCAGCACTTATTTTTAATACTTTTTGCCGTTTTAGATTTGACGTTTTTAAGGGTATGAATAAAAACTTAACTTGGACAGTTTTTATCGTGGTGTTTTGGAGCGGAAACATGAGGCCTTGATGTTCTCATGAATTGTTCCAAAAACCTCACCGATCAATTTTTTATTTTTTTTTTTGCGAAGAAGTGCACCCTTCGGGCTGTGGATGAAAGTTTTATTGACAGCTTACCTTGAGTTTCGTTATGGCCGGGGTCGGGTCATCTGCAAATACAGCCTCAGTCAGGATATTAATGCCGTTGTCTTCCATCATTTTAACTTGTTGGTTTTGTGCCTGTGGATCGACATAAAGAATTGGTGTTCTTTTCAATGTTCTGGATGTTTGGCGCGATTGGGCGATCTGCACGATGGCTCTGCGCAGTCGGTCGATCCTGCATGAAATCCCCAACTTTGCTCCTACTTTACTACCCTTTTTTGAAAATATCTTTCACAACCGTGAATTAGAAAGAAAAGCCGATTGGTTGAGGGTGGAATTATTAACAAATCACACACTAAGATCCACCGATCGCGCAAAAATGGAGAAATCTTGCATATCGACCGACCGCACCCAACATGGATATCATTAAAACAAAGAATAACAAGAAACATTTGTTTAATTTAAAGACGATCTCACAGACGCATTCCATGGCTACCATCTTGCAAACAACAGGGAACAGGATATTTATTCCTCTCCCATGCACAAGGGAAATTTCCCTCTGAAACAAAAGATGCCCTCCAGCATGGCTACCATGTGAAGCCCTTATAACCAATTTTTCGTTTAATTTTATTTGCTTGCTTCAAACATGATTTTCACTAACCTTGGCATGAAAGGGAGTATACACATGTATTTTGTTTTGATTGATTTTCTCAATTCTTCATTTTTTATTTTCTTGAAACCTGATTTAGACGATTTAACCAGGTACCCTTTAATATCGCTGACGATAAAGTGCCTCGACGCATTTAAATTCCACCGCTAGCTCGACTTTCCTCGATAGCAGGACACGTTACTATTCTTTCCCTCCCAATTGAATAAAAATCTAAAACGCGTGCTATTCTAATTTCACATCAGGGAAAAACACCAGCTTACTACGATGTTCGCTCAGGGAATCTTACACTCAGGAAGATTTGGTGGGATTACCGGATGGATACTCGAGCCAATCTCTCGTGTATAAATTATGGAACTGTGACTATGTTTCAACAGAGACCCATCAACCGAAATGCGCATGCCTTGGTGCATGTGTACAACAATGGCGACTGGAGGGCGACGTTTTAAGGGATTCCAAATTAATCATGACATCGGCGTAACGGACAATACATGGCAGAGAGAGAGATGGTAAGACCAGCTGAGGGATGACACGTCTACACCAAACGTGTCACTGAACTGGGCTCTCTGTCGAAGCGACAGATTCCTACTGCTGACTGCGACACCGTAACAAAAAACTCTTCCTGTTTTGGTGATTCGAAGGCAGAAACTGAACACCTTGCAGACGCTTGGTGGCAGCACAGTTGCGCTCGTAACAAGCTATTTTTCAAATCAAAAGATTATTCGTCAGGATTTACATTTATAAATTGTCGTAGAGGGGCTGCTCATTACTTTCTTGAAACGTTAATCCTAAATCTATCTACTTAATAAATTGAATATTTACTAATAAGTAGGTCTTCTCTTAGCCAAGGAGGTGGGCTATATAAATTTTTAAATAATAGTAATTACTTGTTAGATGCGAGATACCTGGGTAGATTTGGGGGACAAATTTGCATTTGTGGAGTTGTACATGAACGCAGATCCGTGTTTGTTTCGACCACAACAAGAAACAGCATGTTACACACACAAGCAAAGCCCTGAAAATCTTACCCCTGCGGCGAATATGTTAATAACGGGTCGGTCAATCCCACGGAATGAAAGCCTGATTAAGATTGCGTTACACACTCTGAACAGTCTGGCTGCAAAGCCCGAGGATGCGTTGTGGCAAAACATTCGGATTGGGTGACATGATTATCATGAAACTGTGCTTTACGATTCCTTTCAAAACAGGTTCAACTGCGCGCTGCTTGCACTGTCTCTTACATCCATCAACATGGACTGAACCTTATTATTCGTTTCATAGGCGTGCATACCTCAGATCTTCGTCATTTGTCCATCTGTTTCAAAAATAGACACTGCGGCTTTCTACGCAAGAAAAGTTGACTGAAAGTACATTTTCTATTCGAAAGGTATCATTTAGATAAGGTAAGAATCTCAAAGGCTATGCTGCTAAATTAATGGGTGAAATTTAAGTACGGCTTGCAATCTCAGATCATCAGCGCAGACCATCTGTGAATTCTCAAATTTACCTGTGACCAGTAGGATGGCTTTCACAATGAACAGTTGGATTTGCATTTCTGTATTAATGAGAGGACAATATTCAGGACGTAATAGGTAAGAGTTTCGAAATTCTAGTCAAATGGTCAAATCTTGTTATGACATAGTTGCAAATGTGGTTGACCTTGAACTTGTAGCATATTTTGCCGAGCCATGACAGAGAAGGAAGCTTTGCACTTGATTTTGCATTGTTTTCCGAATTGAGGCATTCCCCCCCCGGCTTTTTGCACTAATGGATGGAACTTATTAGATCGTCTTCCCCCTCTGTCAAAGGCGAGGAGATCACATTCATGGAAGGGGCGCATCCATCAGGCTAATTGCCGTTTGAAGTGCGACGTTCTGAAACTCCAAAGGAAAAAAAAACCACATCCACACACATCGGCATCCAGGTAGGCCTACACCAAAGAGAATGCTCTGTCCCCCCGGGGGGAAGCCGTCGAGTGCGGCTGGTCGCTTAATATCGGAACCGACGCGGTGTGAAACATTCCACGGGACCAATATTAACACCGTGGTCATTTAGAAAGAGCCGACATCGCTCAATATGCGCAAAGGAGGTGTACGAGGCTCAGGTGAGAGCACACGGCGGAAGAAGGGCAAACGGGCCGGTGCTGAGCAAATAACGGGCTTGACGCTTTTCCTTTAATGTCGCTAGCCAGGCACATAATACTTTCAAGTTTATTAAATGTAGATCGGCGGTGCTTTCATGTTTTTCCCTTTTTTAAAAGCTTTATTAAGGTGGAAGTACCGGGTCCCATCTTGCTCACAGCGTTTCCTCTCGAACGAGCAGATCGCACCGAATGCTTCTACATGTAATTGGAACATAGGTGGACCTTTCTATGTGGAGCTAGAAGTGAAGGTGGTGTCTGGAAATGGGACAACCGAATTAGAATTAAGCACAATCTCTTTGGGGGAGGGGACAGATGAGCGATGTACTCATTTCCATGGAAAGTATCTTTTAACAACTTCTATGACGTACAAATGATTTGATTTTGGTTTTTCAGAAGAGAAACGTCTGCATACAAATTTCATAGCAACATGGCGTTGTCCTCCAAACTAGACAAAGACATTCCAAGCAGCGCATCAGCGCACCGTGATTGACGGCTCAGGGATCGCAGACTGCAGACGGTACGAGCCATCGGAGTCGCAAGTCTGCGATGCCTCCGATTATCCATGGAAGCTACCTTTAATGTGTGTAACCCAGGCTTCGTTGCGATACCTACGTAAAAGAATCTCGAGATGTCCTGGTGGATGGTGGAGATGGTAGTCCAGTTGAAGTACATGAAGAGACGCAGTCTGGCCGACCCGATGTCCATCTCCGAGGGGACGGTGCGGAAAAAGTACGGGTACTTTTCGCGCTCGGAGAGGGCCGGAGTAGTAGCACCATATGAAAGCTGTGAAGAGAAGGGATAAGTCGATCAACACGATAGTTACTACAGTACATGTATAATCACCATCACCAATCATCACCACATAATCCTTTCTTTAAAAGATTTGTATTCGATTTGAAGTTACACACGCTCCGCTTATCAGCTATATTAATCTGCTCTGCCCGACAGAATTACGATCATTAATATCACAGATGGCTCACCTTGATAATTGGGTATTAAGGAGAGTGTGCAAGCCACACAAAATCGTGGATTTACGTTGAATTTGGAAAACATCAAGTATAATAGTGAAATCTTGAAAACGTGTTTCGAGGGTATCGAACTGCTCTTGTGTATTTCTATTATAAACTGAGACTGTATTCACTGGCTGACAGACTGAGGTACCAGTTATTACCAAAGAACAGCCCGCCAAAAAAGACAATATTTGTGGAAAGAAACCCAATCAGAGTTACACTTCTCCAAAATTTGTGTAGGCGCCAGTCGGGTGTCTCAGAGCATCTGCGAGTCAGCACCGTGGCAGCGTAGACGAGGAGAAAGATAGCGCCGCTTTAGTATTCGGCCACGGGCTATTAGTTCTCGCCAAAAGGGGGAAAAATCAGGACAGAAAAAAGGAATGTGTGGTTGATTGAGTGAAACCCAAGTACCTTTATTCCACGAAGACGTTTTGGGGCTTGATTGGCAATCATCATAAAAGGCCCTGTCTAAGATTTCATATGGATATCAGATCCCTATGGACTTCAGAGATGAAGACATGCTGGCTGCTTGACCCCAGTTCTTAATCATTGCGACCTCACTCTGGCTCTTTAAATGAACTGGCGTCAACCTGGTTCCGCAAGGTGCCACGCGACCGTCTTCAACGGATAGGAATACATCTTGTCGTAGATTTAGATCTTAAGTGTGCTTTGAAATTCGACTACGTGGGTTATTTAAGCTGTGCATGAGATAAATTCAAAACGTAAGAATCCCATAAAAGAATAGCTGCAATGGGATAGCACAGCAGGCTATTTAAATGTAGGAAAGTATGCGGGCAGTTGACCACACACTTCCAGATTTTGCTCACACCACCAAGGCAAATTGTCGAACTGCGCGAATGACATTTTTCGGGTGCTCATCAAAATTGTCCCGTGTGAAAAACCAGAAGGCATACATTCCAGTCAAGATCAGCGGGATTTGTAACACTCGCTTATCCAGTGAAAATTTCGTTATAATTCCTGACTCAAAGACATGTACAAGTCTACCATACGCGATGATAAAAAGTCAGAATATGTCATTAAGATACGACTTCTAGAACTGTGTAAATCAACGGACGGTATACTGTGATATGTCTCGCTTATAGAATCCCAGAACCCTGCTATGCAAAATCCAACAGGCTGCCTTCTCAGCTTGGTGTTTTGCTTACTTTGGTATGCTTTGTCTTTCCACCTCCCATGTTTTTCTTTTTTTTTTACAAACTGCCTTTTGAATCCGCTTATAGGAGCGTAGGCTCATATCCTTCGGGGATGTGCTTCTTCGCACGGTCTCAAGGATTTCACACCTCATGGAGATAGCATCTTTACACGCAGACGGGCTTGAAACTACGGGAAATACAACAGACAAGATCTTAACTGCAGGGCGAACCCTAGAGTTCCGAGATTTACTCCTCGATCCTTAAAGATAAACCCCACGCTGGCAAAATGAAGAGTTGTCTCGAGACAACCCCTCAAATATGCACCACCCTCGGAATATACATGCCCGTTTGAACCTGAACAATGACTTCAAATTTGCAATTAATTTTCCAGTATGCTATCGGCAGTCCCAGCCTCGGGGAGCTTTTCCTGTTCTAAGTGCTCGGCTCTTTTCCCTTCTGAAAACCCTTTCATGTGAATTCCTTTCCTAATTCAAAAGACCGAGGGTTTCAACATAAAGTGCTCAGGCTGTAATAGGGGCCTTTTGGCCAAAATCACGGCTTGGTACACGGCCACTTAGGGTTGACTACAGGGTATTGATCACTTCACTCATACGACACTGATATCGTTTTGAACACATGCGACCGAGCATCAGGATTCAATCTAGCCAATTTTCCAAGCGACCGTGACTTGCATTAAAGTCAGAACATGATCGATCAATGTTTTTCTGCGCCTTTATTTAGTCAGAAGCGAGCGCTCAAATCCAAATTGGAAAAAATCCCCACAAAGTAACATGTACTAATCAAACTGTATATATTACTTTGTTTACCCGACGTCGCGTCCGTTTAGAAATAAAACCAGAGACTCAACAGGGGTACAGACAAGCAGAACGCAGGAAAACGGAAAAGGAGACTAGTAAGTCACTGGTTTATGATCTATGACCCATCTTTGAACATGGCACTGTCCAAGACCGACAATAATGGGCAAAAGCATTAAATCTTTTTGAGCAGCATTTTAACCAGGGCACTAAGGCGGGAACATCAATATCATCAGGAACGACGCATTGTGATGTCTCGCTAATGTTGCAATCTATTAAGAAGATCACCTCTTCTTGGAGATGACCTTTTTGTTTTTGTCGAAACATGAGATTGTTCCGTTTGTCTAATTGTAGAAGTGTGCAAGAACTGGTTTCAATAGGTTTTACCTTTGAGGTCTATGTTCAAGTCTGCCCAAGAGTACGAGAGTGTCTCCCAGGGGTACCCTTGTACTTGATATTATTACAATGTAGTTCTTACCTGAACAAGTTTCCAGAAGTGCACCGCCTCGGCAATGGGTTCCGTGACCGCTTGACACGCACCACCGAAGACCATGTACGTGGGCGGGCCCGTAGCTAGTGAGTCGAAGAAAGCCTTCATTCCTTTCGCCATATCGCACTGCGGAAATGACATCAAAAGGTTAGTTAGTTAAGGGCTTCCCGCCAAATGAGTCGAAGTGGAAGTCAACTTTACCCCGTTATACTGATTGCGTTCGCGTGAAATTGCATGACGCTTACAATCAGGGCCTTATTAACTGAAACAATTACTAAAACACATGAAGGTGGACAGAAATAATTTTTGCGCCTTTCAAATAATGCCACGTAGTCAAACAGGCTTGAAATGCGTACAGAAATCAGCCTGGGAAAAGAAGACTGCGCTTTGATAAAAAAGTGACTTGAAACATGCATGCAAAATACTTGGGACGCTAAGGGACTTTGACGTTTCCCGGAATTTTACGTGACAGAAAATAACATCAATTTCTTTTCAACAACAAACGTTCAAGATAACATCTAAGTAACCCAAATTTAGAAGTTCTTCGAACTTTCGTATTTTATGTAGAGTTACAGAAGTCCCAAAATAACCCAGTTATTGCAGGTGCGATGTTTGCTTTGATTTTTATTATAAAATTAGGTGAGATTTTAAGCAAAATAAATGTGGGCAGAAACCAGACCTAGTATAGGTTCCACAGTGAAACCTCCTTTGCGCATATCCTATGGAACAAAAGCCCTGACCTGCAAGATGGCAGCCATGCAAACCCTATGGACTGTCTAGAGCAATGCCAGCCTGTTTCCCAAGTGATAATGCTTGAGAAGCGGAAGTACAATCATTTGGCGCTTTCCACACCTGGCATGCGTTGTCATGCTGGCATTAAAACCAGAAACGAATTCCCAGGAAAAGGAATTAAGCTCAATCGTTTCCATTGTGCAGAAATCCTATCTCCCAAGGACTGGCCGAAGTTCCTCAATTTCGCCCGGTTTCGATTTGACTGTGAAAAAATGTGGATCACGTGTCGTCTGGCGACCGATCTTGCAATTTCCCAAGGAGCTGGTCCGAACGTTTATCAAACATGGAAATTGCACATGTGCATGGTTACTCGCGGTCCCTGCGTCAGTATAAAACAAGAATTGAACAGAAAACAAGAGACGAAGAAGAAAGACAAGGAGAAAAAGAGAGAAAAGGGTATTCGCCCCTCGGGGCGATGCACCGTTCCTCTGGTCGGTCGCGCTTATATTGAACAAACACGGCGCAGCAATGATTGGGGATGACGTGAGTCGCTCGATACAATGCTCCGTGACACATAGTCCTATTGAGCTGGCTGACAGCACAGAAATGTAATTTCTCTAATGGAACTTGCCGGGGGCTTCTGAGCACTGCTTACGGATTTGGCTCACGATTTTGTTTTCGCTACTCGATCCCCCCTCTCCTTCGATCTGATGTTCTTGCCACCTTGTATTACGCTGTTCTCCGCGTGAAGCATGATGCCACGAGTGCGCGCGCGAATTGTCGGCTCTGCACGCCGTTGCCCGTCATCGAGTCACGTCGAAGCCTTGCTTGGCCGAACTCCTAGCGACAACAGGAGTCAACCGATGACGTACAGGAAGTCTGATTCCCATTCCATCCCAAAGTCATAATCTCTTTTGACTTACCACATCTACCCTAAACTTTAGATGGTGCCGATTAGGCCGCGCAGAGAATAAAAAGGAACTGATGAATTCATCAAAATGTCATCAGGGTAGTATCACGTGTTCAGTTCTGTATGCAGAGTGTTTTTTATGTTAATCGGCGAGGAATCCAGATGACTTCTACGGTGTGGTACATGTATATGTCTATGCGTTGTAAGTAATTATAAACCAATCAATCTTTGGCAATGTTAAGAACATCGTTGAGAACAACATAACCACACAGAATGGTCATGTTATCGACCGCACTGACACAGATGGCACCCCCACGACAATGACACAGGATGGCAATGAATCCAGTAACGGACAAGAAACAACAACATTTGGTTCTTGACTCGTTCAATAATCTTCTGTCCTTTACGCCTAGCCATCAAAATTATGTTGATTGCAGCACACCGGGCGACGTCCTGCTAACTTCGCACCAAATGTCACGACGGTGTCTAACATTTCCCTGCGCATAAATCTTCCCAGAACGAGCGAGGGTGATGGATACTGCGTGCCTAATTGAATTTAAAAAGGATTTGGTTTCGCACAATGCCTGCATTCTGACGGAACGGTAATCCTGAGGAGATGAGGTGTTAGAATGAAAGCCTGTCCTTGGCGCTCTGTCTGCTTTGACGCAAATCACATTATGGTTTAGGAAAGAAAAATGATGGCCAAACGTGCACAATGTTCTACGTCTGCTCGAAAGAATACGTTATTGCTCCGACATCAAATCATTAGTTTATTTCGGTTTGCCCCATAACCAGGAAAGCCAATATTCGTAGGAGTTTAGGAAAGGCCACTGATTACCACCTAGGTTTTATGGCTTATTGCTGGGACCACTTCCTAGGACGTTCAGTCCAGTAATCGCCTTACATCTTCACTCGCTGTGCAATGTTTTTATCATGCTTACTTATCAAATTCATATTTCGCGAAGACGATCCAGAGTCTCTACACGTGAGCAAGAAGTCCTCTTTTGATAAATGTTATCATGTGGACGATCCTAAGAAGAAAAAAAGCGGGGGTTGGAAACGACAGTTTCAATTTATGCTGTAATGCTGCATGACTCGCCGGAGACATTTTCATCTTCGCCGGATAACAAGCCAAAGGGCAGCCTACTTCGTTCATTTCTTGGACCTGAGCCCCGCTCATATCGTGACCTGATTCTGTTAAAACTCTCCTCACGAAGCCGGTGACATTCAGGCCAGCCTCCTTCGGGCCCTACGCCGTCCCGAGGAATCTGAAGTGCACCTGACATGTCATCGATACGCTGGCTAATTTTTTGGAGAACAACCGATCCCGATGCAGTGCCGTCCAATGGTACCTGTAATAACAATATACGCGAACCAAACGTGAACAACACGTTAGGTGGTCTGAATAGCTTGGTGCATATTGCCTATTCTTCAGTTAAATTTGAATGAATTCCATACAGTTAGGAAGTTGCAATAACAACATAGGTACACGCTGCGATAACACCTTACTGCGATATCATCTTATTATGAATAATGTCAAAACAATGCGCGGTATAAACTTTCGTATGACTTCAGAAGACGGCTGTATATGGAACGCTAAATGTACCAAAATATGGTGTTACCATGTGAAAGTAGTTTGATTGTGTCCTCAATCTATTATGTGATGTTGTCAAACCATTATGTGATGTTGCCAATCCATTATGGGAAGTTGTCGATCCGTAATGTGACAACATCACATAATACATTGAGGACATGATCAAACTGCTCCCACAGAGTAACATCGTATTTTGGTACATTTGGCGTTCCATAGCTGTAGTGGCGGCAACAACAACGAACACGACAACAACCGATACTGCATGGAATTTCATGTCATAGTCACTGCACAAGTCCAACTCATGAAAGCAACAATGGAATGTCAAGGGTCTAGTCACTGAAAGAAAGGCTAATGCACTCTTACACATCATCACACCATCAGGACGTCGACAGTTTGCATCTTGATTTTGCTTTTAACCAATTCCAGAAGTGAATCCATCTGCCTGTATGTCTCCTACTTTCAATCCTCTGGCTGAGGCAATGTTTTCCCCTCTTTTTCAAAAGACGTTAATACCTGAGTGCGATACGGGCGAGCGATATGAACGCTTCATCAATCCTCGCGGGAGAGCTGTTTCCACCTGCCCGGCAGCCCCTTCACTCGGGAAGAAAGGAGAGAAAAAGGAGGAATAATCCAGGCAGAAGTATCAGACGTCAAAATTGCGCGGCGACCCCCCTCCACATTCTAGTGGCGTGAATGTCAGTGTGAATGAGCGTCACCCTTCGAACACCGCCCACCGTTCGACGCACCACAAGCTTACGGGCTGACGAGCGAGACAAGCCACATATGGGTACATATCCCCAACAGCTATTTGCCGGACTAGAAAACGCGGACAGCTGATTCACTTATTTGGGCTAATTCCAGCGTCATGCGCCGAGATTATTCTCCATGCATACACAAGGGAAAAAAACCCATTCGTTGGGTGGCATCCAAAGACTGTCTTTCCCCCTCTCTGTCTCCACGCAAAGCCCACAGGATGTGCGGGACGCGGGACAAACTCTACTTCGCAATTTGGCAAGGCACAGGTGCAATAACCAAAAGCTTCAGACTGCCTGGAAATGGACTGTATACGACGGCCTGGCTGGGATTTCAAAGTTGACTGGATATGAAAAATAAATCGCCTGACTGGAAATCCGGAGTTTGCTGATGTTTGTACATAATTCTTCAATTCCTTAAAAATAGTGCCCGCCAAAGAAGACCAAAAATAAACCACTTCAATCCACAAATAACTTCCTGCAACCTCTGGCGGTCTTTGATCAAGTTTCTTGAAACAATAATAACATTTTGCAATTACTAGTTCAGATTAATACTAGATCTAGTATTTATCAATTTGTATCTCAGCTACGGAAAATATCCTAGCTTGGAAAAGTATAAGTAGGCCTATACAAGGTTTGCTTTCACGATCCCACATGTCAAATTCTTAGAACAGAACAGAAGAGAAGAGGAGAGAACAGAACAGAACAGGGAAGAACAGGACAGGACAGAATAGAACAGGACAGGACAGGTAGGAATCGAAAGTCTCCTTTCAAGCGCCGCTAGTGGCAGTGAAAGGTTACCAAAACACCGTTAAGGCATTCGGCCGATGACGATGCCGATTTCTTTTCTGTTCGGTTTTTCGATTTCGACGGGAATAATTCTGAAGGGCTCTTCGACTTATTAGATAGCGGGAGATCACGCTGCAAAAGAGGATGGATTTTGGAAGGGATTCGTAAAAAAGGTAAACGCTTCTTTGCTTCTTCTCTTTGAGAAGATGAGATTCAATATTCACAAGGGAAATCCGATGAGGCATGTGGAACATAATCTCGGTGCAATTAATCTAATCATAAAAACAGGAAGCGGACTGTGGCCACCGTATACAAAGGAAGAGCGCAACGGACGTCAGAGATACTATAG